CCTCCTCATCCCCTCTGCCTGCAGCATTCCAGCCCCTTCATCCTCCTACACCACCCTCCTCACCCCAGCACCCTCCTCACCCCAGCACCCTCCTCACCCCAGCACCCTCCTCACCCCAGCACCCTCTCACCCCCATCCCACCCCAGCACCCTCCCACCCCCAGCACCCTCCCACCCCAGCACCCTCCCAGCCGTGTTTGGCCGGTGCCCTCTGGCTGCCCGGTGACCTTTACCGGGCACAGGTGCCAGCTGCAGCAGCCCCTCACCCTGAAATGCCCCTTTGGGCACATCTCTTCCTTCCCCTGTGCCCACCAGGGCGCTCTCACGAGCCTGGCACCCTCCAGATTCCATCTCCTCCCCTCCAGGTTTGCCCCTGCCCCCCTGGCAGTGAGGCCAGCAGGCCCGGGGGTGCCAGCCCTGGGACGGGCAGGGGACGTAGCAGCCCCGACACCCTGGGCCAGGCCAAGCAGAGCCTTGCCCGTGCCAGGGCACCTCCCGATGGCTCCCAGCCCCCCATAGCCTCCAGCTGCCCTGGGCAGGGCCGGCTGGCACCCCTGGCACCCTTGGCACCCCTGGCACCCCTGGCACCCCTGGCACCCACTGGCCGTGCCAGGAGCAGCTTCCCCGAGCAGCACAGCCCAGGCTGAGCAAAGGGAGCCCCTGACTCCCAAGAAAAGGGCAGAAAGGTAAATCCATTTCCTGCAGGAAGGTTTATGGCATGTCCCGTTGTACAGCCAGGCTCCCAGGGTCCCGAGCCCTGACTGATCCCGATTTCAGGCACTTTACTCACTACAAATCATCTTTTGATGATGAAACCAACTGCGTAAACTTTGGAAGAAAGACCCTGCCTGAATATAGCCAAATTAGGAAAGCCCTCCTGTAAGAGCTGTGTTCAAAACCACACGTATTGCTGGTTTATTTTTTAATCTACATGACTGAATCTATTTTTGACTACAAACGGGATGACTCATTTGATCACAACCAGTGAAAAAACTTAATGTGTGTGTCGCCACAAAATATTTCTTAGAGTTGATGCAGTATTTTCTTTCCTTCCTACTTCAATCCTGTATCTCTGTAAATCAACCACAGGCAAAAGCAGCCCAAACAAAAATTTAGGTTGTCTTATTCAGTATTTAAGAGAAAAGAAGCTGTCGGGATTTAATTGGCCTTTGTCTGCCTTTTTGATTAGTTTCTTCCATTTATTTTCCTGTCATTTCCCTTTGATTACTCTGCTCTGACTGAGGATCCAGGAGATGAAAATTTATTCCAAAATATTTCAACCAAATCTGTAGCTTTACTACAACATTCATGGGAAGGGGGAAACCCTTAACTGAAAGCAGCTGCGGAGCCGTATTTTCTACTTCATTTATCCCTTTATGTTTGTACAAAAGAGAAAAATTGAAAATTAGCCAAGAATGTGTAGCACAGATTCTCCCCCAGAAAACAGGGCAGAGTGAGCAGTAATCCCTCTAACCACAGCTCCAGCCCCTCTTCCTGCAGCACAGACACGCTGCTCCCGAGGGGCAGAGGTGCTGCTGGGGAGTCCCAGGGCTGCTGCAGCAGCAGAAATATTCACCAGCCCTGGCCATTCCTGCTGTCCGTGGGCCGGATTTCAGTGAATTAACCACGGAGCCGTTCAAGGAGCTCTTTGGAACGGACCCCACCGGTGGGGATGTGCCGGGAGCCCCGGGGCGCACCTCCGTGCCACAGGGCAGCCCAGGTGCCCCCTGGCCGGGGCACGCCGAGGGCTCCGGGACACATCTCTGCCCCTCTGAGCGCATCTCTGCCTGTCTGAGCGCATCTCTGCTTCTCTGAGCGCATCTCTGCTTCCCTGAGCGCACCTCTGCCTCTCTGAGCGCATCTCTGCCTCTCTGAGCACATCTCTGCCTCTCTGAGCGCACCTCTGTTTCTCTGAGCTCCCCTCCCTCTCCCGTCTCTCTCCCTCTCCCGGCTCTCCCCTCCCTCTCCTCTCCCTCTCTCCCCTCCCTCTCCCCTCCCTCTCCCGGCTCTCTCCCCCGCTCTGCCCGGGGCCCTCAGGCACCGCCGCCGGTCCCAGCCCAGGGCCCGGTTCCCGTTTGCTGTTTCTGGGCTGCAGGAGCCCCGGGCAGCTCGGCTGATTCCCCAGCCCGGCGAGCTCCCAGCGCCGGGAGGTTCTGCGGGTGGGGCTGTCCTGCCCCGGGTGTGCCTCTCGCTCTGCCCCTGTGCCACCTGATGTATTTGTGCTGTCACAATACAGCTGCTCCAGATGTGCTTTCATTGCACAGGAAGCATCTGGAAGGGCTTTAACTCCTGATCCAGCGTTGGGTTCTGCCGCTGGCAGGCCTTGGCTGCTCAGGGAGCGCCCAGTGCTGCTCAGCACCTGCAGCTTTGCAGAAGCCCCGGGCAGAGCTGGCACATCCCCCTGGGACACATCCCTGCCCGGTGACTGCCCAGCACACACCAAAATCCTCCCCCCACGCTTGTCCAAGCCCGGCAGAGCCTGGGCACCCGTTACTGTGAGGCACCTGAGAGCCCCACACGGGCTGCTGCTGCTGGAAAGGTAACAAAGAGAAGCTTTCATTTCTGACTCTGACATTTCTATCTTTCTAAAGGTGCCAGTGGATTGGAGGGTGAATGCACCACCTCTCCAACAACACTGGACAAACTACTAGTATATTAAATTTCTCCACCTCTGTGAAGGAATGTAAAACAATAGGTTATTTACAGGAAGTTGTGTGAGAAAGTTTCTACAAGAATGTAAACCCAGAAGGCTTTAGAAAATCTTAAAAATCAGGGCGACATCGACCTGCCACAGTGTCCCCATGGTGGGTGGCAGCACGGCAGTGCCACTGCTCCTGCTGGCTGCTGGCCTGTCACCCCCGGCCTCGTGGCGCCCTACAGTCCCTTTAGTGAGTTCTTTCCTATGTCCCAGGGCCGGGTGTGCCCTGGGAAAGGGAGATAGTGTCACCCCATTGCCATGCCAAACCTTCCCCGGGCCTGCCAAGCCCTCCGTGCGCCTGAGAAACAATATCCCTGTGCCCTTTGTTCTCTCTGCTCGCTCCCAAAGCGCCTCTGCAAGGTCACGTTCAACAGCCCTCCCGGGGGCACTTAATCCCTCCAGAATTTCTCTTCTGCCACTGCTTTCTAACCCAGATTTTTCTGAGGACGTTTAAATACCTCTGCCAAAACTGTTCATTCACTCAGGGGCCCGTTCCTGCCCTGCAGAGGGGCTGCCAGCCCCAGAGCCTTCGGCCTTTCTGCCGTACCCAGCCGGTGCCACCTCCCCTGCCCTTCCCGTTCTCTGTCCTGAACAGGACAAACCCCTTCTCCCAGGGCCAGGTGCTGAGGCACAGCTGGATCTGAGGCACAACTGGATCCTGAGGCACAGCTGGATCCCTGAGGCACAGCTGGATCCCGGAGGCACAGCTGGATCCCGGAGGCACAGCTGGATCCCACAGCCCGGGCTGGGGCTCTGCTCCCCTATCACACATCCCAACAGCAGCTGCGTGCTGCTGGCTGCCAGTTTGGGTTTTCCCCTGGGCAGATGAAGAAGGGAGAAGGAATGGCGGGGACCAGAGGGCAGTGGGAAGAGGGCAGCGGGCTGGGAGCACACGGAGCCCTCTCCTCACCTGCACAAAGGGCCTTTGTGCTGCCTCCTGGCCTCAGCGGGAGCAGGCAGGAATGTTTGCTGCAGCAGGCAGGAATGTTTGCTGAGGCCGTAAAGACCTCACCAATCCTTGGGAAAAAAACCCAAAATCCAAAAGGCAATAGATTGTCATTCGGTGCTCAGCATCACTGAAATAACAAGAGAAACACGGTCTGGGACAGTTTCTCCTGCTCAAAGCATTCCGTGTCTGTCCGTGACAAACGGCAGCACATCCCTGGGGAAATCCCTGGGGAAATCCATTCCCGCTCCGGCCAGAGCCGCCACGGGAGGGTGGCGGGACAGAGGGACGGGGGGACAGAGGGACGGGGGGACAGAGGGACAGAGGGACTGAGGGACGGGGGGACAGGGGGACAGAGAGACAGAGGGACAGGGGGACGGGGGGACAGGGGGACAGAGGGACGGGGGGACAGTTAAAGTTAAGAGTGAGTAGTTAACTAGTAATTGATGGCCTGTCAGCACAATGTTTAGTTAGCTGGGTTTATAATGAAGAATACACAAACTGACAAATAGCTTTTAGAACATCAGACAATTGTGGGCTTCCTCTGTTCTGAAACCAATTGAAGACAAGGAATGGGAGTTCTACCAAGAGTTCATTTGTCATATTTGCATTGAAAAGGTAGAAAGGTCACAACGAGGAAGACTTCATTTACTTCCTCATTTTGGGACCCCTCCCCATGAAAGGGACACCGACCCATTTCAAGGAACAAACGTCATGCTGAATGGGTTTTGGAGTGATTAGCGTATGAAACGAGGAATGGGATGTACCAAAATGATGGATATGTATTTGTATGTTGGGTATTCAATAGTTGTATAGATAAAAGGGCACTGTAATCGCTCCGAAGGCACGGTGTGGGTTTGGGAGCGATCCCACACGCAATGAACACACACTTTCTGACTCTAAACTGTTACAGTCTCTGTCGGTCACGGCTGGATATCAATACCGGATCAATACCCGCAGTTCTTTAACAATTCCCGTCCCGGCCGTGCCCACGTCCCTGTCCCGGTCCCTGTCCCGGTCCCGGTCCCTGTCCCGGTCCCTGTCCCGGTCCCTGTCCCTGTCCCTGTCCCTGTCCCTGTCCCGGCCGTGCCCGCGTCCCTGTCCCTGTCCCTGTCCCTGTCCCTGTCCCTGTCCCTGTCCCTGTCCCTGTCCCGGTCCCTGTCCCTGTCCCTGTCCCTGTCACAGTCCCTGTCCCTGTCCCGGTCCCGGCCCCGCTCCGCGTCCCGCTAGCCCCGCCCATTCCCGCGTCCCCGCGCGCCATTGGCCAGCGAAGTTTCGGGGCGCCGTCGGATTGGCCGAGAGCGCCGCGCGGCCGCCGCGCGCGCCAATGAAAGGCGGCGCTCGGGCAGCGCGAGCGGCGGCGGCGGCGCGGGAGCGGCGGAGAGCGCGGAGGTGAGCGGGGGAGAGGGGCGAGAGGGGGGACATGGGCACGGCCCGACCCAGGGACAGCGGGACTGGTCATGACCCCGATCCCCGTGCCGGGACAGCCCATGGACAGCGGGACTCATCCCGATCCCCGTGCCGGGACAGCGGGATTGGTCCCGGCGCACAGCGCGAACGATCCCGATCCCTGTCCCGGGACAGTCCCGAGGCACAGCGGGAGCGATCCCGGTCCCTGTCCCCATCCCTGTCCCGGGGCACAGCGGGAGCGATCCCGGTCCCTGTCCCGGGGCACAGCAGGAGCGATCCCGGTCCGTGTCCCCATCCCTGTCCCGGGGCACACAGCGGGAGCGATCCCGGTCCCTGTCCCGGGGCACAGCGGGAGCGATCCCGGTCCCTGTCCCGGGGCACAGCGGCAGCGATCCCGGTCCCGGTCCCTGTCCCGGCACACAGCGGGAGCGATCCCGGTCCCTGTCCCGGTCCCTGTCCCCATCCCTGTCCCGGGGCACACAGCAGGAGCGATCCCGGTCCCTGTCCCTGTCCCGGTCCCTGTCCCGGGGCACAGCAGGAGCGATCCCTGTTCCGGAGGTGCCCGGCAGGACCGGTGCCCCGGGCAGAGCAGGGCTGAGGAAGCCGGGGGGGTTTATCCTCCCGGTTTCCCCGCCTGCCCTGCCAGCGGCACCGAGCCGCTCTGTGCCGCTCCGTGCTCGTTTCCGTGCCAAAGTCACCCCGCCGAGCTCCTGCTGGCAGAGCGGCTGCTGGCTGGCTGAATTAACTCGGGCACGGCACAGTGCCTGAGCTGCCCCGGAGGGAAGGAGGGAAGGAGGGAGCCGCTTGTCCCTTCTGAGCCCTCTGGAGAGGTTCGCTCCCCGAAATGCGGCCGTGCCCGCAGTGCCCGGGAGCCCGCCGTGCCCGGGAGCCCGCAGTGCCCGGAGCCCGCAGTGCCCGGAGCCCGCAGTGCCCGGGAGCCCGCCGTGCCCGGGAGCCCGCCGTGCCCGGGAGCCCGCAGTGCCCGGGGCCCGCAGTGCCCGGAGCCCGCAGTGCCCGGAGCCCGCAGTGCCCGGGAGCCCGCAGTGCCCGGAGCCCGCAGTGCCCGGGAGCCCGCAGTGCCCGGGAGCCCGCAGCGCTGCTGCCGCCGCCCTGAGCTCCGTGCAGGCATCCTGGCTGCCGGACCCGAGCCTGTGGAATGGCAGCAGCTGCTCTCCCGACCTTCCTCTCTGCGCCTTTGTCCCCGCGTGGTTCGGGGATGAGTTCAGCGCCCCGTGTCAGCCCGAATGATCCCATCTCCCTGGGACCGCCCTGCCGCACCCCAGACCCTGCCCTGGGGGGTTGCTTCCCTCTGCCATGGGGGTTTTTGGCAGTGCTGGCCTCGGGGACCCCGCCTGCCAGGATGGGCAGGCCGGCCTGGCTGCAGCCGGGGTGTAGCGCCGTCTGTCCCGCTGGGTTTGAGCTGAGCCAGGAGAGCTGTGCCCGTTTCACTGCGAGCTGGCTGCTCCCGCAGGGCCGCGGGCACAGGCTGGTGTTTGGCGGCAGGAGTTGCTGTCTGGGTGCCCCACAGACGCTGGGCTGTGCTCTCAGCATCCCCTGCCTGCTCTCCTGGGATACACGGTGCTTTGGGGTGGCACCGAGGCACTCAGGTGTGGCACCACTGGGTGCCCGTGTCCCGGCGGGACTGGCCAGGGTTTGGTGGGACCTGCTGGTGTGTTACCCCGGACTCGGAGCAGTGTGTCCTCTCCCTGAGGTCCCTGCTCCTGGCACCTCAGCCATGTCCACGGGGCCTGGCTGCCGTGGGGAGGGCACCTTTGGGTGCCCGCTGGAGCCCTCGGGAAGCTCTTGCCAGGCGCTGCCGGGGGCTGGACCCCACAGGAGTGAAAGCAGAGCCTTTCTCACGAGGCTGTGTGCTGGGCTGAGCTCAGCTGGCCCTGCTGCAGCAGCTCCAGCCCTGCCTCGTCTGGAGGAGGGGGCTCTGAGCGGGCCGAGCTCTGCCAGCAGCCCCCGGCTGGGGGTCCCTCGGGGGAGTGCAGGAGCAGAGCTGGGTTTGGGCAGCAGGGAGGGCTGAGCAAATCCCTGCTGTGGGATAAGCCTGGCGAAGCTGTTCCTGCACTGGAGCCATCTCCCAGGAGCTCCTCAAGCATCATCTGCAGGGCATGCAGCAGGGAGGGCTCACAGTGCACCCCAAAAAGCCTCATGAACGCAGAAAGCATCAGGGACTTCCCAAAATGTGTGGCTGGACGCTCAGCTCCCACGGGGAGAAGGGCAAAGGACTAGATGTCACCTCTAATGTCACTCACATGGAGGCAGGAGCACAGACTCTGCACTGGAAGGGGCAGCCCTGCTGGGGGACCCTGCCGGGGTTGCTGTGGGCAGGGGGATGCCCACCTCTGCACGGTTCTGCTGCCCAGCTGCCTGTCTCCTCTCACCTGAACACTGCAGCATGAAAAAAGACGTGCCAGCTAGTTTGTACTTCAAAAGGGATAGAAATGACATAATGAAAACAAGGAAAAAGAATAACACAGGCCCTGTATCAGTGTCTGAATAATCAACATCCCAGCATAAACGGGTGTCTCTGCAGTAGACGGCTGTTTAATTTCCTGAATCCTAAGACGGGCACTTTTTCTGGGCATGGTGTGGAATACTGTCAAATTTTAATTTAGCTTGGCAGTGTCACACAGCCAGTCTGAGCAAGTCAGAGAAGGCAAGTCTGGAACTCATTAGAGCTTGTGGCGAGGCCCCGAAAATTTGATTTTCAATCACTGTTGGGTTTAATTATTGTTGATGTCTTGCCTAGAGTATTCTGGGATTCTTTCTGAGGAAATTAAAGCAGCATGAGTGGGACAGCATTCTGTTTGGCACAGGGCTTGTTTAGATTAAATTCTGAGTGGGGAGTTCAAGCTCAAAGCAGGGAGAAGGCGATGGCTGGCACGGCGCGAGCGCTGGAGCGGGCCCAGCTGGCCAGGCAGGCTCTGGGCTGGTGTGCTGTTCTCACTAAACTCCCTCCTTCTTGTCAGAACAAAATAACCCACGAAGCTAAAAGCACCCATCAAAGCCAAGGTAAAGTTTACTCGCTTAGTACAAATTTTGGTTCTTTAACTTTTTCTTTCTTTGGTTGTTCAGCACGGGATTGCAGACATCCCAAGCACCCTGCAGGGCAGCAGAGAAGTGCTGGGGTGCAGGGGTGAATGGGCTCCAGGGTCTGGTCTGGGGGCCTTGGTGCCTCCAGGAGAGGCAGGAGCTCCCTCTTCATCAGCAAATCCTGGATGCTGGAGGAGCCCTCTGCAGGGGTCTGCAGATGTGGATGGGAGCTGGTTGGGGCTGGCAGCTTGCACTGGTGAAGTCCAAAACCGTGGAGCTTTTCAGGCTGGGTGCCTGGTCAGGGAGTGCAGGGGGCCTGGGCTGAGCCCCAAGCTGTTCCACAGCCTGGCAGGTGCCTGGCTGCCACCGCAGGGCCCTTTTGGCACAGGGACACCTGGCTCTGGGGGAAGGAAGCTCAGCTCCAGACGATGGGGGTTCTGTGGGACACACCTGAGGAGCCTCTGTGGTGTCCCAGAGCTCCGTGAGCAGCTTGGGTGGCTGGGGATGAGGATGCTGAGTGAGGGGCCATGGCGAGTCCCTCAGAGGAGCTGCTGCCCTGTTGTGTGACCCCGTGAGGGCCGCAGGAACCAGCCCAGGGAGGAAGCAAATGTGTTTCTAGCCATGGAACCATAAAGCAGCACAGGGGTTAAAGACCTTATTTTGGGACTTGGACGCAGAGCTAAGCAGAGTCCAGTGAAATGCAATTTACACATTACAGAATCCCTCTGGTCCTGCAGAGAGGCAGTGTCTGGAGTGTTTGTTTAGGCTGGGGTTTTTCTCCTTTTTTTAAAGAAGGAAATACTGTATTTCAGCTATCCAGGAAAGACAGCACTCAGATGTCCCACCTTGGAGCTCCTGTTCCATGTAGAGATGGGGCTCAGAGAAAGGGGGATATTTCCAGGCAGCTGTTTGCAATTCTGGGGGAGCTGGAGCTCCCTAATGGTGGTGCCAGCCTGATTCCCCACACTTGTGCCATCTCACCTACTGCCAACACGGGCTCCATGGCTTGGTTACATCACATGGGCACAGGAAGGTAAATGCTCTCCAAGGCATCGTGATATTGCCTGTGCCCTGCCAGTATTTGGGGTGGCACAGCCCCTCAGTTTCTGCCTTGGGTTCAGGCTTCACCAGCCACAGGAATCACCTGGACTTGCTCGTGTGCTCCTTCTGGAGACCTGCAAATGCGTTGCTCCAAGCCACCTCTTCATTTTCCACCTTGTGCTGAGCTTGTGAAGCTCAGAGGCTGCAGTGCAGGAAGGGTGAGGGACAGGGATGGGGGGCCCAGGCACGGCCCTGCCCTCGTGCCACCTTCAGCTTCCTCCTGTTTCCTCCACTAAAGATCCTCCTCCTACTGCTGAGCAGATATTTAGTCCTAAATCCATTGTTATATGGAGATTTGATGGAAGCAGCTCCATCAGTCATCCTGTCAGTGTCCTGAGGGACATTCCCAGTGTCCCCATTCCCAGTGGCATCCAGACCCTTCTCCTCACGTGGGAGATGGGAAGGACCCAGCTGGTTCTGGGCAGGTAACTGGAGATCACCCCGAGACCCTCACCTGAGTGCTCTGGAACTCAGCACGTCTGCTGTTTCATTGAGTTTGGGGGGGTTCTCTTCCCATTCCAGACACTTCCTCACGTCTTGGTTTGGATTTATAATTAAGTCCAAGTATCTGAAGCACTGTCTGGCTTGTGAAAAGAATCTGATTTTTCAGCATTTGCCCTTCTCTTATCATTAATTCACACATTGTTAGTGAAGAAAGGAATGCTGCCAGCTATGTGCTCTTGGAAGAGGGAGCTATTTGCAGAGGCCCTGGTTGTTGGGGCTCTGTCATCCTGTGGGTTGGCATCTGGCAGTTCCATTGAAATAGTTTCCTCCACTATCAGTGCTTTTACCTGCTCTTTATGTTGCTAAAATAAAAGGTAGCAAAATTCTTACTCTGCAAAGTTTAATACAATAAGTGCTTCCAGTATTGCAGATGGATCAACCCATTCATTGATGCCTTAAATAAATCCAATAGAGAGAATTTGGGATGAAAGACAGCCTTTTGTAGGGGAATTTTTTTCCTGTGAGTGTGGTAATTGGGATAACGCTCGCTTGGAATCTGGCAGGGAAACAAATTGCTTGCAGGTCATGATTACAATGGATGTTTTCTATGAAAATGAGAAGAAAATAAATCAAAACATCCCTTTGCTGTTCTCAGAACTGCAGTAGTGAATGTGTTTATTGGTTAGTGCACTTCTAAGGGCATTGCTTGCCTTGCTCAGAATTATTCCCCTTGCAGCTGCTGTCAAGGAGCCTCTCCTGCAATCCAGAACAGCCCCAGGCGTCCTGCCCGAGCTGAGCCCTCCTGCAGGAGGTGTGGGGGACATTTTGGGCTGATCTGTGTCAGGACTGGGAGTTGGTTCCTGAGCTGGACCTCCCCAGACTTAGGGGCACTCAAGGAGGATGTTGAACTTCAAGGTCCCTTGCAACCCAAACCATTCTGTTTGTGGGCATCAGCAGAGAAGGAAGAGGGCACCAAATGGCCAATATGTGAACTGGAGCATGCAGCACTGCCCTGTGTGTAACCCTTGCACCCTGCAGCTCCTGGAGACCCACAGGGGAGTTGGAGCTAGCCCCAGATCCTTAAGGAAGTTTGAGCTTGCCCACTGTTATTATGCAATCATAGCTCTATTATAGTCAAATAATGACAACAAATGATCTGCTATCCATCCCTATCCCTCAGCAATTGTGCTGAGCAGCCTGCTCCCACCCATGTGAATATTTCCCTGTTCCTTTGTTCACAGCCCTAGTTCAGAGTTAGCTGTAAATCTTCCAAACTCATTGCAGCTGGAGGAACCCCAAAGGGTTCTGGAGGTCCCTCAGCCTCCCTGGAGCTCTCTCCTGCCACGGCTGGCATTAGGGTGGGGTAGCTGATGCTGCAGGGAAGGGTTTGGATGAAGCCTGTCATGGCCACTGGGGAGCACTGGCTGAGGGGAGAGGTGAAACGAGGACCTCAGCTCTGAAGGGCTGTTGTGAACTTAGAGTAACTTTTTGGAAACCAGCTTTTCCTCCTCCCTCCCTAAAAAGGAGGGGAAAACATACTTGAGGTAGTTACGTGTCTCCAGCACCGTTTTCGGTCTCCAAATAGGGTGTTGTGCAATAAATGCTTTTGGGATCCAGAAGCCTCTGTGGAAGCAGGAGGGCTCCCTTTGCCAGTCCCTCATAGGCCTGTGGCTGTGCCACTGTGTCCCCAAAGCCCTTCTGGGGGCTGCAGAGCCACGGGTGGCTCAGGCAGCAGAGCCAGGAGGGATAAGAGCCATGGCACACGCTTCACCCTGCCCGTGGATGTGCCCTGCTGATGGATAAGAGCCATGGCACACCCTTCACCCTGCCCATGGACCTGCCCTGCTGGGTGTGTGCTCTGCTGGCAGCGAGCACAGCGCTCAGAGAGAGGAGCCCTGCCTGTCCCTGCTGTCCCTGGGGGGACAGGTGTGCTGGGAGAGTGATGGGAGGGTACTGGTGTGTGCTGGGAGTGTGCTGGCTGTGTTCTGGGAGTGTGCTGGCTGTGTGCTGGGCTGTGTGCTGGGCTGGGGCCTCCATGGTCCTGGACTAACCACCACACTGGCCAAGTTTCCTGAAACTCTGAACATGATTTCAGGCCCGAGTTCTCCAGGTCCTGCTGCCCCTGAGGACAGCCCCTGGCACCAAACCCAGCTGTCAAACTGGCTTCACTGCAGCCTTTGCAAAGGGTCCCTGGCCAAGGTGTGCTGGGCTGACAGAAGGTGACAGAAAAAAGGCATGGAGGAGTCTCAGCTGGGCAGCAAACAGAGCAGGCTGTGGGGCTGGAGCCTGAGCTGCTCAGAGCTCCTGGCCAGGGCTCCACCTCACCAGACCTGCCAGGGGAGCCCCGTGCTCCTTTGCAGAGGAGTCCTCGAGCTCTGAATCGAGCTGGTTTGGGCTCTTTCCTTGTCACTTGTCACTCCAGGCTCTCCATTTTGCAGCTGCTCAGAGACCAATGGCCCTGCCTTTGGCCAGCGTAACAGCAAACCATGGCATTGCTGGTGTGCTCCTGACACTGCTCAGCAATGCTTTTGTGGGTAGAACAGCCTCGATTTCCTATCATTTCACTACCCAAGAATTTCCTCTGCCCTGACTTGCTTCTGTCTTCCAGCAGCAAGAATGCTGTGAGGCACAGAAAGCCAAAACAGAAATCCTGCAAGGAGTGTCTATCTAGTCCTGGTGAGCAGGATTTGCTTTTCTTCAGCCAGTTTGTTGACACAGGCCTGGTTTTGGGGTTTTGGTGCTTTTTTAAACCATTACAAATGTCTCCAAACCCTTCATCTTAAGGTGATGCCAAAGTTCAGCTGCACTTCTCGGATGGGCATAGGTGGAGCCTGGGATAGTCAGAGCATTTGTTTCACATTATCTTACCGGGTTTGGGGTTTTTGCAGCGTCTTGTATAATTTTGGAAAAGAAATCTCCTTTTATGCCGATGTGAGGAGAAGCTCCGTGCCTGGGCAGGACGGGCAGTGAGCGGGCACTGGCGCCTGCGCAGGGCTGGGAGTGAGAGTGGCTCAGCTCTCCTCTGCTCCTGGAGGAGTGAGGAATGCCTCTGTGCCCCAGACAGCCTGCCTGGGCTCTCAGAGCCTCGAGGAGCTGCTGGCCTGAGGGTCTGAGCGTGCTGGGCACCCTCTGGGGCTGGGAGCTCCTGCACTGGCACTGCCACGGGCTCCAGTGCCAGCTTGTCCAGGAAGGCTCCTGTGCTGCTGACCACACTTCTCCCTGTGCCCTTCCCCTTGGGTCAATGAGCCTTTTCCAAACGAGTTTATTCAATCCAGATGTTTGTGTTTGAGATAAACCACCACTTGCAGTCCCTTGCTGTTTCCCAGCTCCTGTTTGACTCTCTCAGATCAGCACCAGCTAAACCCCAGCAGTTCGTGGTACCTGGCACGTGGCTCCAGAGCTGGCAGGGCTGTGAGTGGTCTGTGGGAATCCTCCGTGTCTGTATCTGTCCTGGACAGCTGGCACATGGCTGAAGAACCAAAAACATCCTCTGTTTGGATAGCAGAGGCAGAGGGGACTATCTGGCCATGTTAAGGCAATTTTTAAGATGTATTTTTATGAACTCTGGGAGTGAGAGGTCTTTTCATTGGCTTCAAAATATTGGACAAACTGCAGGTGAAAATCAAGATGAAAATCCCAGGCGAAAGATGAGGCAGAAATAAAACAGCAGTCCTGGGGCAAAGGGAGCTGAAACAGACCACTTCGGGCTGGGTTTCTCCAGGATGAGCAGCCTTGTGTGGAGACTTCATAGTTCTGGGCAAGAAAAAGTGGCATGTAAAGGCCTGTCATCTACCTTAAAATTGGCAGACAAACATCTGGTCATTTCTGGAACATCTGTTTGTAAAAACTTTGTACCTGTTAGCAACATCATGTTTTCCGAGCAAGTGAAGTATCTGTCCTGGGTGCCATTAAATAACCTCTTCCTCCTGAAAGCTGCAGTGTGAGTCTGACCCTCAGACGAGAGCTCAGGGTGCCCCAGGTCCTTGCAGGGGCTTTGAGGTGCTAGAAGTGGGACAGGTGGATGCAGAGGGAGCAGGAGGAAGAAGGGCTGCAGCATCATCACTGGGCTGGTCTCTGAGCCGAGACTCAGAGCCTGGGGCTGCTGGGCACAGCCTGGTCAGCCCAAGGTCCCCACGGGTCCCTGCTGGGCAGCTGCATCCGCTCTTCTGCCCCAGTTCTTTCCCTGCTCTTGGTGAAAACAGGTTTTGGCCAGGACAGCCTCTTGCGAGGTGCCAGAGTGATTTAATCCGTGCATGATCTGCACTGAAGGGCTGTGGCAGTGCAGAGACCTGCAGGGACTGGAGCCACTGGGCTCTGCCCTGTCCTTGCTGCCCTTGCTCCTGCTGGACCTGGCACTGTCCTTGCTGCCATTGCTCCTGCTGGGCTCTGCCCTGTCCTTGCTTCCCTCAGCTCGTTTTTCCAGGGAACAAGCGTGTCCTTCAGGCAGGGGCCTGACAGCTCCTGTATAAACATCCCGGCTGAGATAAATTCAGCGTCTGCTGGTGTCACCTTGCCCTGGTGCCTCCTGCAGCACTTTGTTTTTGTCTCCCGCCGTGCCCTGCTGCGTTGCTCATGCTCAAAACGCCGTGTTTGATAAATTCATGGAGCTGGCAGTAAATAGGTTTGTTTTCCAAAGATATGCGCTCCTGGTGTGGGTTTTTGCTCATCTTTGTCCTGTTGGGAGGTTGTTGGGATGTCTCTGCAGCAATGATCACCAAGGATGGGTGACTTTTGTCTCTTTCCAGTGTGCAGCAAAAAGTGCAGCACAACCACTGCTCCCCATGTCACTCCACCACCACCTCTGCTCCCCAGAGCATTTCCCCGCTGTATTTCCTGTTCACTATGGAAACCACCCACAAAGTCCAGTGCCAGAGGCATGGAAACCTCCCACATTCCTGAAATACACTGGAGAAAGACCACAGAGGTCCAAGGTGCAGTGAAGCAAGTTTAGCATCAGGTTATAGCAGTGCACCTCCACGTCTCCAGCCTGACTTTGTGACTTGCACAGATCCACGTGCAGCACATGAACTCCATGAACGGGACCCAAACGAGACCTGAGGTCTCTGTGGATGAGGTGGAGGTGGCTGCCCAGTGTGTGAGCATGTTCCCTGGGTTTGATGTGCCAGCCCCTCCATCCTCCCTCACTTTGAAGGGAAAACCTTCACCCAGGCATCCTTAAATAAACTTGTGGCAGGGTTGCGTGGACATGGTCAAACAGCGTTGGGAGATCGGAGGTTTCAGGGGACACAAGGGATGGCTGAAATCGCTTCTGAAGGGCAGTGGGCACTCTCAGGGCAGTCTCAGGGAGCCCCTGGGGATAAAGCCTGCCCACTTGGTGTCCTGCTCTTTTGCAGATGTCGGGGAGCCAGCCGCAGGGGGGACGAGGCGTGCCCTGCTTGCGCTGCAGAGGGCTGTGCACGGGCTTCGAGCCACACTCCTGGAGGTAACGTTGGTCCTGTCCTGCATCCCGACTGAAATGTGCCTGGTGACAGAACATCTCCTTATCTGATACTTCATTTCCAGTTTTCCTGCTGAAACCACAAACTGGGGTAAATAGCCCCTGATGGCAGCAGCTGGTGGGAGCACACCAGGACAGTGCCCAGCTCAGGGCAGCAAGGGGGCTGTAAAATGCAATGCAGACATCCAGCTGTCACTCATTACAAGAGAATTAGTGCCCTCTGAGCTGCCTCACAAACACTGGCCCCCTCTGTGCTCCTGGGGAGCTCCCAGGGTGCTGGGCCCCAAGTGGTGGGGCAGGGAGGCTGTGCTCCAGCTGTGCTGCTGCAGCTGGAATGCCTTGGATGCCTTCAGCTCCCACTTGTGATACCTCAGCTGTGTGAAACCCAAACTTTAAAGACTCATTTGGTGAAAGCACAACCATTTTTTTATTGACTCCATTAAAGGCTAGTTGGACTCATTCTTACTCCAAGATCCTGCTGAAATCCTCGGGGTTGTGTCAGAGTTACTTTGCCCCTCTTGCTATTAGTGTTTGATGGCAGTGCTGGCCACCAGAGTGTCTTAGACACTTGTCTGTGTGATTTGTACCTATTATCGTTCCAATTACAGTCAATTAAGCATCAGTTCCTTCCAGCAGTCACTTTTATAAGTGCATGTAAAGATTCATCATAGGCAAGGCTGGTGCTGATCTGTTGGAATCTGTGAGGAGACTAATCTCCAATCTCGTGATGCTTGAAGGGGTTTCCAGAGTTCAGGGGAAGCAGCAGCTCCCCGTGGGTGGGAGGCAGCAGATTTTGCAGTGCCAGGACAAGGGGGAATGGCTTCCCACTGCCAGAGGGCAGGGATGGGTGGGATACTGGGAAGGAATTGTTCCCTGGCAGGGTGGGCAGCCCTGGCACAGGCGCCCAGAGCAGCTGTGGCACCCCTGGATCCCTGGCAGTGCTCAAGGCCAGGCTGGACACCGGGGCTGGAGCAGCTGGCACAGTGGGAGGTGTCCTTGCCATGGCAGGGTGGCACTGGGTGGGATTTAGGGTCTCTCCCAACCCAACCCACGCGTTCCATCCCGAGCCTTTGCCCGTGCCATAAGGCCAGGCTGCCCCTTGGAGAGGCTGGCACCCCACGCCCGGCTCACAGCCCGGGCTGCTCTCTTGGGCACAGGAAGATCTGCAAGTCGTGCAAGTGCAGCCAGGAGGAGCACGGCCTGAGCTCGGAGCTGGACGATGACCGCAAGATCGGGCGCCTGCTCTCGGACTCCCGGTACGCCTCGCTCACCGCGCGGCTCAAGGGCGGCGACGGCGCCCGCGTCTACAAGAGGAACCGCATGATCGTCACCAACCCCAACATCTCGGGCAAGGACCCCACCTTCGACACCATCACCTACGAGTGGGCTCCCCCCGGCCTCACCCAGAAGCTGGTAAGGGGCTGGCAACAGAGCTCTGCTCAGACAAAGCTCTCGGGGCAAACCAGGGAACCACGGTTTGCCTCAGGAGCAGAAATGTGCAGAGCGCTCGGTGTTTTGGAAAACTAAATAAGCAGAGTAGGTAGGAGAGGGGGATGGAATGCCTTTGGGTTTTATAGGTTTGTTTACATTTCCAGGAGAAGTCTTAATGGATTTTACAACCAGAAAGCTCTTAGTCTTTTGGTAAAGCCCATCTGCAGTAAAAGCACGGCTGAGGAGAGAGCCATCCCTGCTGTCCTGCAGCCCTGCTCAGCCCAGGCCTGCTCCAAAGCCCCAGGCTGGATGTAAGAACAGCTCCTCCAGGCCTTCCGGGGTGTCTGGGCTGGGCAAGCAGGGGAGCAGGAAGGGATTTGGTTTCTGGGGAGCACATGGTGGGCAGCTGGGTGCTTCAGGGCTCCTCCTCCTGCTCACAGAGAGCACCCCGTGCTACTGGAGGAGTCCTTGCCTGGAGAGTGGGCTCAGAGGCCCCGTTCCCAGGGTCTCCCACAGTCCCTCTGATGAAGAACAGCTGCCCATCCCTGTTCCAGCAGCCTGGAGCAGCTTTCTGCCCCAGGAGCAGGAGTGGAAGGGCTCCTGGTGCCCGGGGTGCCAGCCTGGCGAGAGCTGAGCTCAGTGCCCGAGAGCTCCTGCCCGCAGCTCCTGCCTGCGTGGGCACAGCTCTGCCCGCTGCTGCTGCTGCCAGAACCACTCTCATCTCCAGCTCTGGAGCTGGGGTTTCTTCCTTACAGTTCAAGCATAATCTGGTCCAAATAAAAACAACGTTATAAAGAGAGTTCAGGGTAAAAAGGTGAGATAGGGAGTGCAATCCTGTTCTGAGGGCTGGATCCAAAACCAAGCCCCCAGCCCAGCTCCACCTCCCTCCCATGCCTGGTTTCCATCTGGACCAGCTGTGTGGGAAGGGGTGGAAGTGGTTTTCAGCATGTGCAAGTGTGAGCCAGCAGAGCACTTCTTGGGGGAAGCATTTAGCTGCCTTTTCACTGTGCTGTGGTATGAAACCCTTCTGTATTCCACTGCCAGGCAGCGAAAGCTTCTGCTCCTCCAATGAAACAAATAGCTGAAAGCTGTTGATACAAATCAACAAAAAAAGCTGCTGAAAATGCAACCAGAGACCTTTTTAAAGAAGAATTTGGGATACCAGTGTGAAAGTGCAGCCACAGCCCCCAGAGCCAGAGTGGTTAATTTGGCTTAAAAGCCAGTTGTCCTGAGGGCCTTGGACAGGCTGGGTGGGGGGTGAGCTGTGTGCTGGGGATGCTTCAACTGAGGTCCTTCCCTTCCCTTCCCTTCCCTTCCCTTCCCTTCCCTTCCCTTCCCTTCCCTTCCCTTCCCTTCCCTTCCCTTCCCTTCCCTTCCCTTCCCTTCCCTTCCCTTCCCTTCCCTTCCCTTCCCTTCCCTTCCCTTCCCTTCCCTTCCCTTCCCTTCCCTTCCCTTCCCTTCCCTTCCCTTCCCTTCCCTTCCCTTCCCTTCCCTTCCCTTCCCTTCCCTTCCCTTCCCTTCCCTTCCCCAGCCCCCAGCCCAGTCCCACCCTCCTGATAGGGGAGGTTTATGAAAGTTTTTGATCTCCTCATAGTGCCTGGACAGGCTGGAATACATCTTGGTTCAAGTAAACAACAAGCAGGAGCTTTGGAGACGACCTTGATAAATTCTGGCTTGCAGATCAGCTTGACAAACTCTGAGAAGTGCTGGATGTCAGCCACTCTCGGGATAGTTTCAGAGGGATTTGGGCCAAAGAGCTGTTAGTGCACAACTGCCTCTCTCCAGTGGTTTCCTCCTGGAGGCAGCCTGGAAACTTGGGATGGCTTTTAACCTTGTTTTGCTGAAGTGGATGGTCAATAATAGGAGGAAGTTCAGAGCATGTTCTTGTTAAGCTGTGCCTGCAGAAATCATGAAGCAGATACTTAGGTCCTTAGGGACAGTGAAAAGAACAGATCATAAAATAGCCCCAAGATCCAGTAGTGAACCGTGAAAATTAAAATGCTCTCCCTCCAAATTACCTGCACTCAGTGAAGCATGGGCCATAACAACAAGTGATAGCAGCAGATGTAGCAACTTTTTCTTAGTCTTCATGGCAGTTTTTGGTTTCAGGCTGGATTTTTTTTCCCCGTAATCTTTTCTTGGGACACATTTTTATTGACATCTGCAATTATAACTTCAAGCATTCCCTTGGTCAGGGAGTGGAATCTCACTGAAACCTGCCCATGAGCAGGCTTTAAGTAAGCCTTTTAAAAAGCCTTGAGGCTTTGCTTTCCTCCCTCTCAGCACAGACACTTTGTGCTGGGAATGGAGATCCTGGAGGTGGAGCAGACCAGGAGGCCCCAGGTGCCCGTGCTGGCCCCTTGCTCTGGTGGAAATGTTCATTAGTCTCGGCACATCAGTGGATTGAGGATTTCCCCCCCTGAGACCCCAGCACGCTGCTGCTCTGCTGGAGCTGGTGCTGCCCTGGTGTCCTGCTCACACAGCATCACTTCACTTGTTTCCTGTCCACTTGTTTCCTGCCCCTTTCTCCCACAGGGCAACAGCCTCCCATGAAACTGGGCATCAAGCCCGCCTTTGCACAGGGGCACAGTGTACCCTGCTGATGTCTGATATCCCGGGGTGCAGGGATTTAACTGGCACCCCGAGACCTGGGCAATAAGCCCTGCTCCCATTGAATCATTATCTGCTGCTGTTCCAAATTTCCTGTCAGGAATCCCGCCCGGCAGCACTGCTCTCTGCCCCAGAGGAGCCAAGGTGGAAGGGACTTGGAAGTTTTTCCTGCTGTGCTGAAGAGTTCAGTGCTGTGCAAGCATTTCTGTGTTGAAAAGCCCAGCCTGAAGCAGCCCATGTGCCACAAACAGTTAAATCTCTTTGCAAAGTTCTTTAAGATGGAGTTCTCAAGTGCTGACCCAGTAAGAAGCAAATGTGATGCAGCTGGATGCTGGTCTAAGGGGAATGGCAGGGAGCCAACTGGCTGCCCTGTCACTCTTCACACCACAATAGGAAAATGCCGGATGGGAAACTCCCTTCCCTTCCTCCCAGCCAGCAGAAGTTAACTGTGCAGCCCCCGTGGCCACCAGCACTGACCCAGCCCAGACTCAGAGGGGATGCTCTGCTCCTGAGGTCGTGGCCAGTTAAGTCAGAGACTGCATTTCGGGCAGTTTCTGGGCATTTCCTTTCTGTGTCACAGGGCATCAGTGACCAAACACCTTCCCTCTGCTGTGAAATCAGCAGTCAGGTGGGGCTGGGGGCTGTCAGTGTCCCAGACTCAACTGCTACCTGAATTTTCCCTGTATGATGATGATTTCACTAACTGATGAAGGATGGTCTTTCGCTGCGAGCTGCTGTGCACACAGCCCCACAGGGCTCTGGGGTGCTCAGTGTGCCCAGTGCCTCACTCCTGCAGCTCTCCCTGGCCCAGCACAAGGCAACAGAGAGCTGCTCCTGGGGTTTGATGCTTATGGGGTTTTAGTCTTTTCAGCAGCTGTTTTACCAAATTTCATGGAAAAGTGTCATGGTAGTGCCAGCGAAGGAGGGTGTGCTGGGATTTCTGTGCAAAGCAGGTCTGGCTTTGCTGCTTTGCTTTCCTGGGCAAATGGGGGCTGTTTTTAAACAAAGAAACAAACAAAAACTAATCTAAAACACCATAAAAACACCCAGTCTGTTGTCTGAGGATGAAAGGATTTATAACAGCCTGGCTACCACTGGCATCTAAGCCAGTTCAGCCTTCTGCTTCTGCACTGTGGGTGCAAACACTCCAGAGGGAGAAGGGAGGGGACGGGCACGTTTTCTGCTGCTCCGTGGCACAAGTGGAGCATCTGCGTGCCAGGCTGTGCCAGGCCATTCCAGGCTGTGCCAGGCCGTGCCAGGCCGTGCCAGGCCGTGCCAGGCTGTCTCCCTGCCACGTGGGTGTCTCCCGTGCAGGCCATGCAGTACATGGAGCTGGTCCCCAAGGAGCTGCAGCCGGTGGCGGGCACGGACGGTGCCGTCCATCGCCGGCGGCGGCTGGCGCGGCAGCTCCCGCTGCACGACCAGGACCCGGCCCAGTGCCGCGGCCTCGCCGAGGGCGAGCAGCAGCTCATGCAGGACTTCGTGAAGAGGTACAAGGCCGAGGCCCTGGGAGTCGGGGAGGTGGCGCTGCCGGGCCAGGGCGGCGGCGGGAAGGAGGAGGAGAAGCCCCAGGACAAGAGCATCGACCCCGGCAGAGCCCCCGAGTCGCCCAACGGGGCCCTGGAGAGCACGGCCGGGCACTACGTGAGTCTGGGATGGGATGGGATGGGATGGGATGGGATGGGATGGGATGGGATGGGATGGGATGGGATGGGATGGGATGGGATGGGATGGGATGGGATGGGATGGGATGGGATGGGATGGGGTGGAATGGGATGGGATGGGATGGGATGGGATGGGATGGGATGGGGTGGAATGGGATGGGATGGGGTGGGATGGGATGGGGTGGAATGGGATGGGAGCACTGGGGCTGCTCCAGGCTCAGGGAGCCACTGGGAGTAGATTTGATCTCAACTCGAGGGGCAAGAAATCACAGCAGGCAGGGTGGTCTGTGCCTTGTCCTGCTCCCAGGGCATTCTCCATGCCTGCAGGTGGTCTGTGCCTTGTCCTGCTCCCAGGGCATTCTCCATGCCTGCTGCAGGTGCTCAGTACATCACAATGCTTTGGAGCAGCACTGTGAGAGCCTGGAGGGCCCCTCTGCTCCAGCCAGCCCTGCTGAGCACAAGGGTCCATCTGGCAGGGCTGATGAGGGGCGTTCTCCTCTTCTTCATCTCCCTTTCTCTGTAACAAAGGCCCTGCTGAGCCACCAAGGTCAGGGAATTCTCACTGTGGGAGCTGGTTGGAGCTCTGGGCTCTTGGCAGCTCTGAAAGGTTGAGCATGACGTGTCCCTGGATGATAAGGGCAGTGTTTCAGTTGAAAGCTGAACTGGGTGATCTTGGAGGTCTTTTCCAACCTTTACCATTCTGTGCTGCAAGTCAATATTTCCAGGTAGGCTTCTTACCTAGAAAGACCACAGATGACAGGAGGTGGAGGCTCTGTCCAGTTAATCCAGAGCTGTGAACATGGAGATCGTGTTCCCAGGGCTGTAATCACTCTGGGAAATGTGAACGGCTGCCCTGGGTCCCTGGGCATACAAATACATTTCCACAGAGAAATGGCTGAGATTCCTCAACACCCTTTTAGATTTATGTTCCCCCAGTGCTGTCTGGAGTGGCTGCTGAGCAGATGCTTATCATAAAATATGGTGAGTGGAAATACCTTGTCCTGGTCCTTGTGAGGGTGACTTGCAGCAGAGGATTTAAAGCTGAAAAAGCAAATGGTGTCCAAGTGTTTTTAAGAGGAGATTCTTTCCTGCCATTCCTGCACTGAGGTTGTACATGAAAAAGCAGTTTTCATTTTCAGTCCATATTGGGTAATGTCTCCCCTCTGCCATAGTCTGTTACTTCAGACTTTGAATCCAGTGACACAGTAAGGATTTTCACTATTGCAACAAAACACTGGATTTTAAGATAAAAAATAGCCAAAAAAGGAAGGTTTCCTTTAAACATATCAATAAGTCATCCTAGCAATGAGGGTTTACTTAAACTGCAAGTTTGTCCTTCCAAATAAATAAATACATAACTGTGATGTTATTCTCCTTACTTTGAAGCATCATTTCTCTCAAGGCAGCAGCTGAAAAATGGCACAGCTTTCAGAGCAGTGGCAGATGCACTGGGACAGCCACCCTGTGCAGCCAGGGCATGGCAGGCCCAGGGAGGACTGGGGCCACTGGCCCTGCTGGCCACAGAGCACAGAATCCTGACCCCAGAGCTGGGAATGCCTCTGGTGTTACGGGATTTGATTCCTGCCCTGGAGTCACATCGAATCCTGAGGCACTTGATCCAAGTGAATCACTGTTCCCAAAAGCTTGAGGCCAGCAATGCAGGGAGGGCTCAGAGCGCTGGTGGTGTCCAGGAGCTCCTTCCCTGGGGCTGGCACTGCGGAGCAGGAGCTGGGCATGAGCAGGATGGGAAGGCTTAAGAGAACAGGACATTTCTTTGGCCAGCACCTCTGGCAATTCAGCTAATAAACTCTTCACTCCTCTGCCTGCATGATGGAGATGTGAAAGGAGCACCAAGCTGTAATCCCACCTCAAATTTGAAGGATCACCTCTTTGTAGTGTGTAAATAGCAGGATATGGAGGTTATACAATGCTTGGGAAAAGCCCTGTGAATAGATTTTCCCTGTGAATATTTTCCATAGAAAGAAACAGCAAAATAAGTTGTTTTTTTAACAGTTCTTGCTGGCAAGAAACTTGAGCTCGGGGTTGGAAACTGCTGTGTTTGTTCTTGCTTTAGATCCTGCAAGATAAGCAGGGCTGTGCTGCTGTGGCTTCCCAGGGCTGGCAGAGCAGAGGCAGCTGCAGGGTCTGGCTCTGGGGCTGGCCCCAAATCTGGGGGCCGAGGGAAAGGCTGCTCCTCAGCCCGGGTCCCTGGGAACACGGGCAGTGCCCAGCGGCGTGGCACAACGCGCCAAGGGCACCGGGGCAGGCACTGAAACCCCTGAGGCAGGGAGGAGGCCATGGGGAAACCTCTGGGGTGCAGGACGGTGGGTGACCCCTCAGAGAGAGCCACCTGGGGGTGCAGGATAATGGGTGACCCCTCAGAGAGAGCCACCTGCAGAGGTGCTGTGGCCTCCCCTGGGTGACAGGAGGGAGGAGGGCAAGGAAACTCGGTTGGTGCAAAGAGCAGTGTGCCCGCACTCGGGTGTGAGCCGGGGCAAGGGGCTGGCAGGGCTGGGAATTTCCCTTTTCTAGCCCTGCCCCATCCCTGTGGCCTCCTGCAGCTCAGGCACTGTGAGTTTATCGCTGCTGAGAAATCCTGGCTTTGTGTCTCCTCTCCTCTTGGGTGAGTGGAAGGAGCCTCTGCCCATGGCAGGGGGTCAGCTCTGGGTGATCTTTCAGGTGCCTTCCAACCCAAACCCCTCTATGGTTCTGTTATTACTGGTTGACTGAAACTGGGTGTTTGTAAGCTGTGTCTGATCACAGGGCCAGTCCCAGCCCTGACCTGTGCCACCTGGAGCGTGCTGCAGGGGGACACTGCTATGCCAGCACTCCGATGGGCACGGCAGTGTCACCACAGCCCTGTGGCACACAGGCTGCTCCCAGCTTCAGTGGGAACTGGAGAACATCCTGCCAGCCTCTGAGTGCAGCTTTAAGGCTGGCCCTTCACTAATCACAGGATTGCTCTGCAGGCACAGATAAAGAGCAGGCCTAGTTGCTCTGGTGTGTAATGTGCATGGATGCCATTAATCCTGAGATTAACCACGTCTAATTCCAGCTCTTTGGGCTGTTAGGAATAGAAAACACTTGCTGAAATCTGTGGAGTGACAACTGAGTTAGGCACAGACAGAAAACAGTGAGAAAATACCAAAGTTCCTGATCTCTTTTCAAACTTACATCTTTGACGTGCTGCACTCCTGCACTGTAGGAATTCTTAATTTTCCTTGGAAAACCTTTGGATTTTGGCGGAGGTGTTAGTCTGGGAGGGGTCCCCAGGGCCGCTCAGAATGAGCCAGCAGCCCCGTGCTGCCCCGTGCTGACCTGTTGTGTGCCCGCAGCGCTGCGAGAGCTGCCAGCAGCCGGTGCCCGGGGACTGCCCCGTGGTGTACGCCGAGCGGGCTGGCTACGCCCGGCTCTGGCACCCCGCCTGCTTCGTCTGCTGCCGCTGCGCCGAGCCCCTCGTGGACCTCATCTACTTCTGGAGCAGCGGGGCCGCCTGGTGCGGGCGCCACTACTGCGAGAGCCTCCGGCCCCGCTGCGCCGGCTGCGACGAGGTGGGCACCGGCCGGGAGCTGGGACCCCGTGCCAGGGGGGCAGGGACCCCCTGTGCCAGGGCATGGAGTGACCAGAGTCCTTTAATCCCCTGTGCCAGGGTGGGCAGTGACCCCCTGTGCCAGGGCACAGAGTGACCAGAGTCCTGTAATCCCCTGTGCCAGGGTGGGCAGTGACCCCCTGTGCCAGGGTGGGCAGTGACCAGAGCCCTGTGATCCCCTGTGCCAGGGTGGGCAGTGATCCCCCGTGCCAGGGCATGGAGTGACCAGAGTCCTTTAATCCCCTGTGCCAGGGTGGGCAGTGACCAGAGCCCTGTGATCCCCCATGCCAGGGCACAGAGTGACCAGAGCCCTGTGATCCCTGTGCCAGGGCACAGAGTGACCAGAGCCCTGTGATCCCCCCCTGTGCCAGGGTGAGGACCAGCTGCAGACCCTCTGATCCCCCTGTGCTGGGTGGGAACCAGCAGTGGCCCTCTGCTCCTGGCAGTGCCAGCCTCAGTCAGGGTTTCTGAGCAGCCTGGGCTGCTGGAAGGTGGGAGGTGTCCCTGCCCATGGCAGGGGGTGGGACAAGGTGACCTCTGCAGGTCCCTTCCAACCCGAACCGTCCTGGGATTATTCTGTGTGCCCATTCCCGATGGGCTTGTGGCAGGTGTGGGGTGGCTCTCCCTTCTCCTGCCACGCTCCAGCTTGGTGAGATGGTGGAAATAAGCAGTTTGTCTGTCTGTCTGTCTGTCTGTCTGTCTGTCCCACAGATCATCTTCTCGGAGGACTTCCAGCGGGTGGAAGGGCTGGCCTGGCACAACAAGCACTTTGCCTGCCTGGAGTGCGAGACGCTGCTGACGGGCAAACCCTTCACCCTGGCCAAGGGCAGCCTCCTGTGCAGCACCTGCAGCCAGAGCAGGGTCTGAGCTGGTCCCACGGCTCCCCAGGGTCCCACAGGACTGGGGGCGTTTGGAAATACAGGAGAAGGGGAAGGTTAAAAAATGGAAGAGTCTGAGTATTCGCTTGCAAGCAACTGCCTGTGAGGAAAGTATTTCCTGGGGGTCCTCTGGGATCTGCCAGGAGCCCTCGTGCCCACGGGGGGGAGGTGCACGGTGTACCTGGCCAGGAGGAACTGGAAAGGACGGGTTGGGCTGGGCTGGTTTTTGTCAAGTCTGTCCAACCTTCTTATGACTGAGATCTTGCAACAGTCGTTTGGAAATAACACATCTCAACAGTAACTTCTGGCATACTAAACCTGCAGTTGTGGTCAAAAACAAGGGGTGTTTGTGGTTCTTAAATCCTTACTGGAATTAGGCTAACAGGCTGCTGCCACTGTGCCAAGGCAGTGGGTTTGAGGAATTTGATCGACTTGCTGAAAGCAATGATATAAAATTGCAGCCACACGCAGCTGGGGCTTTGTCCTGTGCAAGGATGCAGAGCCAAGGAGTGGGCACAGGGCAAGGGCTCACCCTGGTGAGAGGGGCAGGGCAGGCTCTGCTGGTCAGGGGCTGACTCAGCTGTGGAGCTGCCAGCCTGGAACTGGAATGTAAAGAATTTTGTGGAAAAGAGCTTTACACCCTCAGCTGTCCTGGGGGGCAGAGTGTGTGTGTGTGTGTCCCTGAGATGCTGCAATGTCACCTTTTCCCTGCAATGCTTCGATGACCGTTCCAAGTGCCAGGGAGCTGCACCTTCCCCTGGGAGCCCCTTGTCCCACGGCTCTGCCGCTGCCTCGCAGGTCTGGCACTGTCCCAGGGTGTGGCACGGAGTCCCTGCAATTCAACAGCTTAATAAAATCCTGTCCCTCTCCAGTGTTGGGAGCAAAAGCGTAAAATTAATGCATCAAACAGCTCGAAACATATGGGAGCCATTAGTGCTGATATTGGAATGAAATTCGGGGCAGGCATGAGCTGATCCTGCCCCCAGCAAGGACAGCGTTTGAACTTGTGGGGCTGCAGAGGACAAAGCCCTTCATGTCCTGGGATGGCCAGGGCAGCGAGCTCAGGGAATTTGTGCCTCCTGAGTGGGCACCCAGCTCCAATTTAAACTCAAGTGTTCTTGGAGTTGTTCTAAATACAATGTTCTAAATAATTTCCTCCACCTGCTGGGGGAGGAAATGAGAAATAGAGTGAGGGGTGCCTGCACCCCTGGGAGGGAGGGAGGGAGAGCCTTTCAGTCACTGCTGCTTCCCTGGGATATTTGTAATATCCAGGCCAAAACAAACTGTTAAACTTGACGTTCCATCTCTCAGCTCCTGTGAACAAGAGAAAGCTCCCAGTCCCAGTGACAGCAGGACAGCAAGTCAGTGTTAAAGAGCTGCCACGCCAGGGCCAGGGCCACCAGGGGAAGCTGGCTGGCATCTCACAGCAAGGCTCACTCCCACCCTGCCCCACACAGAAGGAAGGGAGGCCTGGAGGCGTTTAACCAGCTCCTCTGGTCGATGGAAAACACCTGCACACTGAGCTTTATTTATTTGTTTGTTTGTTGGCACTGGAGCCATGTGGAAGGAGCCCTGTCCTCAGGGGCCAGTGGCCAGGAGGAGGGATCTGTGGGGCACAGATGTGTGGGAATCTGGAGGCAGCCCTGCACCCCCTGTGCTCCCAGAGGAGCCTGGAGGCAGCTCTGTACCCCCTGTGCTCCTGGGGCTGTGCAGAACCCCCTTGTGTGAGGGGACATGAAATGCCTGCAGTGGTCTCTCCCTGCAAGCCTGGCCCTGGGTGCGGGCAGAGCCCCGGCGTGGGGTTTGCACTGCTGTGCTCAGGCTCTGGTTTGCATCATTCCAGGCCACAAAACAATCAGCCTTCTCCTTCACAGTGAGTTTCCAAAAGCAGCTCTTTGCTCGGGTACTTCTGCAGTGAAGGGATGCAGACCTGATTTATTGGAATGGACGGGATTCTTGTTACTTACCTTGGTGGTAACAAACAGCCATAAAAGAGTTGTTGATCATGGGCATAACTCAGTAAGAACCTGATCCTGGGGTGGAGAACAATTGCCTTAAACAGAAACTTTTAAGGGGCTTTATTAGGCAGTCAATTCTAAAAAAATGTGATTTCAGATACCTGTAACTAATAAACCTCAAAATTCAGTGGCTGCAGGCGAGAAAAACATAAACCAAGGGCAGAGTGAGTTGGCTGTATAAACATTACAATAAAACTTACTTAAAAGCCCCAGAGAGAAAAATTTAGAGGTGAATAAGAAGGTATTCATGAAGTGAGGGTGCATTTCAGTGGAAACTTCCTGAGACCTGCAGCAGCTGCTGCTGCAGGGCAGAGCTAAAGAAAGCCCCTGTGGCTGTGTGTTCTTCTGTAAAAAGTGAGGTTATGTTTATATAAATCTAATTTGAGCTTGAGTTTACTTTTCAGCTCCCTTTCTTCAGCCAAATCACCAAAAAATCACCCTCCCCACAGTGAGGGTTTTGTAGATGGTTGCCTGATTTCAAAACCTGCTACAGAAAATGCATCACCTGGGGCAAAGCAGGAGCACCGGGAGCTGTATCCAACGTGGCTGCAGAGAGCAATGGTGCAGGGCCAGCCCCTGGTGCCCTGTGGCCGTGCTGGCAGCAGGAGCCTGTCCTGGCAGTGTCCCTGTCCCGACAATGTCCCTGTCCCAGGGCAATGTCCCTGTCCCAGGGCCATGCTGCCAGCCTTTCCCTGCTCCTGCCCTTTCTCTCAGCTCCCAGCCAAGGAGGTGTGAGGAGATGCTGTGTCTGGCAGCGGCTGCTCCGGATGCTGACATGTCAAGGAAACACCTCCACATCCTCTGGGCAGAGTTAATATTTGGACAGTGTTAAAGCACAGCCAGCCTCGCTCAGCTGAGCCCTGGCTGTGCCCCAGCCCTCCCCAACCTGAGGCACTGCCTGGCTCCCCTCCCACGGGCCGGGGCTGGCACCGGCACTTGGGATTTAAACAAAACCCACTTGAATTTCTGCACAAGGAGTGCCTGAGCACCGCCCGCAGCACAGCAACCACCGAGGGCAGAGGAGAAAAACAATTAGGCTGGTCAGGCAAAATGTTAGGAGAGTGGCTCTGCAAGTACTGGGTTTTCTCTCTCAAAAATAAAGAAGGAGCCTGAGGTTGAGAGCTGTGCTCTGGATCCTCACGGGGCTCTGCTGGTGCTCAGGTAGCCCTGGCTCAGATTTGTCTCAGAGCCTCCCTAGATTTTCCTCCTTAGTTCTAAAATGAAATTCAATTAATTTCATATGTTCTTAGTACCTAAACAATTCTTGTACCCTTGTAGGGCCTTTTCTTCCTTCCCTTCCCACATGGAAGAGTCATTTCCCTGTTTTTGATAGCGCAGGACAAGCGTGGCCAGCTGATGTCTTCACCATCTGAGTGGTTCCATGTCAAAAATAGATGCAACAAGTCAAGGGAACTCCAACCCCCATGGAGTTACCAAAGGGGTGAGCACAATTCCTGCTGCTGCTCCATGAATCCTGCCTTGGATAGAGATTTTCATTATGGTTTTCCACATAAATAGTATGAAAAACTACAAGTAAAAATCATATAAAATTCTAAATTAGTTCTAATTATGAATTGGTTCTCGGAGCAGCTTACCCTGGAAAATGCCCTGTCCTGGTCCAGCCGATGGACATCCCAAACTCAGCGTTCCTCAGCCCTCCTGTCCCCAGAAATGCCAGCAGCACTAGCTGGCAACACCCCTGCTGGTAAGAGGATGACTCAGATTCATTCTCAAATGTAGCAAAATAAATTGGGTTATCTCTGAAAACCATTAATATGCCAGCTTTGTTTTGTTTGCATTTATGCAATCAGGAAATATCCCCAACCCAGAAATATCCCCTTCCTCTGGATTTCAAAACAAGTCTTTTTATTTCTAATTAGCTCTTGGCGCAGGAGTTTTTACAGCAGTTTCAGCCAAAAGGAGATGAGCTGGGCTGTGAATTTCTGACGTGCAAGGAGAACTCGGGAGCGGGAATCGAGGTGGTTGATTTGTGTCCCAGGGACAGGGGCTGGTGTCCCACGTCCCCTGGGAAGGCAGCGTGGCAGGGGCAGGGGCAGGTGGCTCTGTGGGTGAAGGGCTCCGTGGGTGACGGGCTCCATGGGTCACAGGCTCCACGGGTGACAGGCTCCATAAGGCTCTGTGGGTGACAGGCTCTGTGGGTGACAGATTCTGTGGGTGACGGGCTCTGTGGGTGACAGGCTCCATGAGGCTCTGTGGGTGACAGGCTCCGTGGGTGACAGGTTCTGTGGGTGACAGGCTCCATGAGGCTCCGTGGGTGACAGGCTCTGTGGGTGACAGGTTCTGTGGGTGACAGGCTCCATGAGGCTCTGTGGGTGACAGGCTCCTCGGGTGACAGGCTCCTCGGGTGACCTGGGCACGATGCGGGGTGTTGTCCCTTGCCACGTGCCAGCCAGAGCAGCTGGCATCTCCTGCGGGAAGGCTCCCAGCCCCTTCCCAGCCCGAGGCACGGAGCCCTGCTCACTCCCACCCGCGCCCTGCTGTCCCCTTGGGAGGGGACCCATGGCCTGTCCTCCCCACACGGCTCCCACGGGGTCCCACGGGTGGTGGCCCTGGAAGCGACTGCCTGCTGGGTGATGTCACTGGAACCACGGGGGGAAGGCCAAATAAGGCGTCAGTCGGGGGAATATGTCCTGAAAGGGCAGCTGGAGCGATGAGCAGCAAGCACTGAGCGCAGGGATGATGTTACCGTGTCGGGAGCCCAGAGGCTGCGAGTCCCAGGGCTGGAACAATCCCCCCAGGACTGGGAAGGGGAGAGAAAATCTGCCCAAGCCGGAGCTCCTTCCTCCCCAGAGGCCAGCGGGGCCAGAGGGCAGCGTGGGAGGGATCCCAGGGCACAGAGGGACACGTCAGTCCGTGAGAACTTCTTTCTGGGAAGAGACTTCTCTGGGCATTTCCCGCAGCGTGACTTTGGCTTTTCAACACAGCGCCGAACCTGCTCTGGGCAAGAGAAGAAATGTGATTTTCAGGGGGCTGAAGCAAAGGGAGGAAGCTGGGCCGTGCTGCAGAAGGGGGAAGCTCCAGGGCTGGGGCAGGAGCCCAGGGCAAGGCTCCAGCCCTCCTGGCGTGGAGGAGCTTTTGGGGCATCCTGGCGTGCTCAGCTCCTGGGGAAGGACAGAGCTGCAGAGGGGCTCCAGTGGGAACCCTGGCCAAGCCCACTGGGAATGGGCCCCACTCCCTCTGCGGTGCTGCACTCCCCTGACACCGAGCAGGAGGCTGAGCCGGCGGCGTGGGCACTGCCAGATTTTCACAGGCATTGGATGAAGTTGAATTTAGCGCCAGAAGATTGAACTTGATTTAT